GTGAGGGATGAGTCTGTCCTATTGCTCTGAGCCTGGAGGAAGAGGAGAAGGAGGAGGAGGAGGAGGAGGAGGAAGAGGAGGTGGTGGTGGAGGAGCAGGAGCACAGGGAGAGGGGGTGGCTTTAGCATGTGCTAGACACTGCCTGGACAGGAGGTAGCAGGGATAAACCACTTCCTATGGATAATACACACCAGTTAACGTTCATGTCCTCTCTAGAAGCAAGACACACACACTCTCACAGTCCAGCAGCAGCGACAATAACATCTGCCTGAATGTTCAACAGTTGCAGCAACGTCCTCCGCGTCGTCTGGTGACATGCTGCATGCTCACATTAATGCTCCGTGAACTGCCTCAGTGATCCAAGCGGTATTACTCCGAATGATCTCTATATTCCCTGGCTCTTGTCCCGGCTTTCTGGTAGATTTTTGATTTTCCTTCTTACTTTAGGATAGCTGACACTGCCTGTGTTTGTTCTGATCTCAGTGGGCTGAAATACTGTTAACGCAGGTGATGTGACACAAAATGTTTGAAAAATGTGTCTCCCTCACCGTCCTCTCTCCCTCTCTCCAAAGATACACTGATATCAACATACCTAATTGACAGAATATTTTCTTTTCTATTAATTTATTTTGGAGTCTCTATTTCCATCAAGTACTGCTTGAATCTTACAGTATCTTATATATATGTCAAGTCAGAAAAAAAATAGTCATACGAATATGATCCTGGATGCTTCTGTTCATTTTATTTGTCAAAATGGCGTTCTGATTGCTTATTAGTTGATTGTTTGTACATATGTTGGAATTTTGTGGTCGACTGTGTGTTCTGAAGTGGCAGACAAAAAGCTTACGGCTGTTACCCTTTTCAAAAAGTTGTAAGGCATATTTTTATACACGTCAATATAATATTTTATATATGAATTGTTGGTTTATTTAATGAACTACAGTACAATGCCATGTATTTTTATATTGTCAGCAGTTTCTTATTTAAAGACAGAGATTATTTTATTTCATGTTAGGGGAAGTGTTGTGCTTTAAAGGCACCTTTATGGCAAAACTCATCACATTCATCAGAGCTCTATTCAACTGCTGCACATCTTATGGTTAAATCTCATGTTTTTAATTTCCTTTTTTATTTATGCTTTGTTTATTTGAGAATTGAGAATGTCCATGTTACTATTATGTTTTATTTTGGCACATCATCCTACAAATTCTGATTTCAACAGAGGAAAAAAAAAATCAAGATCAAATTTGTTATTGTTATAGTATGTCTTTCCCAAGTCCTTGCAAAAGTCATGAAATTGTGTGCTATTAAAGTGTGATTAGAATTTATCTATTTCTGAACAATCTTGTTGTGCCAATGTGTGTGCCGTGATGATAGGTCCGTGCACAAAGGACCTGTAAGATTTGCAAATATGAAAATAAAACATAATGATAATAAAAATGGAGAAGAATTAAACATATATTAATATAACAACGGCTGTTGGGTGTATTTTTTTTTAATGAAATGCTGGAGGAGATCACGACGATGCTTTTTTAAAAATTACCTTTATTTAACTCGGAGACTGTTTCAAGATATGTAACATCTAAAATCTGCTGCCACCGGAGGGAGAGTCCGTGAGGAGGCCTGGACAGTTTGTCGAGACGGTTCTGACTGCAGCGTTCTCAATTCATTCTCTGCATTTGACCCGTCAGAAGTACCCGGAGCAGTGGGCAGCTCCAGATCTGAGCCAGTGCCTTGGTCAAAGGGCACAGTTCCAACCACTGAGACACAACACCGCCAAGATCAAGTTGTAACAGTAAGCAGTTACTTTGCCCTATTTGTTTAATCAAAGTCACTAATGATCAAATTAATTGAATTTGACATAAAGTTCTCAGGGGCGAGGGGGCCCTGAAGTAGCTCTGGACGCCCCTGAAAACTCATCGACCACCCTGTTATCCTTACCCTATTCCACTCTGTGTTTCAGAAGCTGCAGCGGGCTCCAAAGTCAGACTAGCTACAATTTTGGTGATGGAAAAACTTGCATGGCCATTTTCAAATGGATCCCATGACCTCTGACCTCAAGATCTCTGAATGAAACTGGGTTCTCTAGGTACCCACAAGTCTCCCCTTTGCAGACGTGCCCACTAAATGCTAATCTCAGGCAGTTTGCATGTGGTATAAATGTACTATTTAACTAACAGATTGTAATATTTCTGCAGACTGGGGTCAATCAACAGTGATGGAAATGTATAAATTGGGAATGAAAGAAAGCTGAGACACATACTTGCGTAAGTCAGTGCCCAACTTGTGCCACGAGAGTGAAAAACGTCTGTTAACGCCCTTGTTTCTTCTATGTGAACCTAAATCTATGACCTACCCAATTCCACCTTTAGCTTTTTCACAAGCTGCTGAATATGAAGATTAAATGAAAGAGAGTCATGGTGACAACAGCGATGAAGATCATGATACTAAATCAGATGTAAAGATTTTGGAGGATGAGCACTGGTGGAAATGATTCCTAAAGGTGCAACCCATTAACAAACACAGAGGCTTCTGCACAGTCACTCTTATAAGCCTCGCCGTGCTGCAACTGAGGGTTCCTCTGAATCATCACCAGCATATGAACACGTTACTCTCTTTCCAAAAGCCTTTGGTTTGAGACTTTGTGCCTGTCTCCATTTGTCTGTGCCAGTCCCCCTCTGCAGTCACAGTCACCCGTCACCAGCAGTGAGACAGAAATTACACATTAGAGCACATTAGAGTCATGCTGCTTTTCTGCCATTACTAGGCACATAAAGGATCATTTTTCTCCTGCTTCGCAACGCAGGGACCCGATACATGCCTGTTTCCAAGGTAACCGCATAGAATATCCCATTTGTCCATGCGTGATATGAAACGAAAGGGCCTTTGCAGAAAATGAAGGAGGAAGCATGATCCTTTGTAGAATCACACCACCACACGTCCTACTTCTCTATCTAGGGTGGTTGCGTTTGCTATTCTTGGAGATTTTCTTTTCTGTGCATTGAGCATGAGATGAAGCGATAGTGATAGTGTCTGTCAAGCACGATATATTAACCTACTAAATGAGAAAGTGTGCAGTTACGATGTGAGTAAAGACAGCACGTTTTCTATTTCAGAGTTCAAATGGTTGATTAAAGATGCAGATGGATTGGAGTGGCTCAGTTCTCTGGGGCAAAGTTTAGGAAATGTTCAGATCTTAAAGCTGATAATTGACAGAAATGGTTAATTATTTCAAAATATTTCTATAACAAATACTTTGTCCTCAAGAGAGTCAACGATCCTGCACTCACAAGAGTTGCTCCTGTTGCTTTACTTTGTGCATTTGAGACAACACACATGAATGTTTCATCTGCAGTCAGTGTGCAGGTTGATGTTATACATTAAAAGAAACCAACAGTGGAGTGGGCCTTTATGTAAAACAGAGCTTTTCCCATCCAGAAAATGTATGTCAGAGACGGTGCTGCGTTCAGGGCATAGAGGAAAAATTTAACTTCTAATACAACACAGTGACAAAAGGCCAAAACAATATGTCCATACACTTAAATAGGACTAAAAGAAGAGTAACTTTCTTTCCGCTGACCTCTTCCTTTAACTTTCTGCAGTGATGTAAAAGTGTACTCCAGGACGCCGTGACATCACAGAGCACATTTCTGACCCCAAACACACTTAAAACTTCCAACCAGACAAACCAGTGAAACACTGTTTATCAACCTGGTGTTGAACTCATCTTTAAAGCTCTAATCTGTTACATTTCCACATTAAAATATCTATAAACTCTGGCTCTATCTTCTATATGTAGTTGTGTTCTTACATTGTCCCAAATGTTTCCAACAATGTTCAAACTCAGAGAAATCTGTCATTTTATTCAGGTAACGCTGCGTCCACTAATCATACTGTCAATGGGCTTTAAGGATTTTATTTAGTTAAAAGTCTGGATGTCCCCACATTGCTGCAACAGTACTGGTTCCTTTAAACCCGTGGGCAGCTCCGTCTATGTACGTACCTCGAAGCATAATGTTGTGACTTTGTTTTGGGATCTTACCGCCCCCTAGAGGTTAAAAGTCTCTTTGGTCTTAGTAATGAAAGCTGTTGTGTAATATTCAGCATCTGCACACATCTGGGCTCCTCCAGCTAAAGTAGAAAACTAAAACACACAGTTGAAATAATATTGCATGGTTAAGATAACTTTCACTAACTTTACCTGTTATTATCACTCCAACTAACCAACTAACTAACCACTGTCAATGTTTGTCCATCAGTGGTGGAAGTATTCAGATCCAACATTCAGAACGCTGTTAAACCAGATAAGTTCATTTAACTCAGAAAGTTATTGGAGCTGATTACATTGATTTATAAGTAAAATAAGTTTTTATTTGTACAGTGAAAACAAAATACCTTGTAAATATTTAATGAGGAATGTTTAACTTTTTTTTATTTTAAGGCCTGATAGAAAACTTTAATTTATTTGTACAGCAGCAATTTATAACAGAAAGAGACTTCAAATAGAGCAGGTCTATACGGAAAACTCCTTATACACAAAACAATCCTACAGTATCTTTGCATTTGATTCACTTTTGTGAAGAAAAGTAAAGTAATTTGTCTGCTAGAGCAATGGCCAAGTGTCAGGAACAAGAAAACACTGAATATGTAACAAATAAAAGCCTATTAAGTCTGTATGATTGTTAAAAAGTATTAAAAAATACATAAAACAGACAAAAAAGTTCCCTAAACAGGAAATAATCTGCTCAAAAAATAAACATTTAGTACATTTTCTTGCCTTTATTGTTAAATATGTGTACAATATAACTTATTATGCAACCTTAAACAGTTAAAATTATCATTTTCCACGCCACCCTCATGAACACAGCTCTAGATCCGCCCCTGTTCACCGGTAACTGCTGAGATTCTGATAAATCCCGACTTTTAAACCATCACCTGAACGCAGCATTAAACCGCGACGCACCCGCCCACCTCCAGGAGGGGAGGAGGGGGAGGGGGGGTCACCTGACGCAACAGCGCGAGCTTCATGTGGTCAGTGCCGCCTGTCAATCAACGAACTCACCACGTGGTCGATAATAACACGGGTGGGCTCGCGGGGGCGGACTGTCAGCGGCCGTTAGTCGCGCGTGGACGAAGCCCAGCAATGACTCAACTCGCCGGTTTAAACGTTAAATCGGTTGTTTTTAGGAGTTTAACGGCGTCGGTGTGACACAACCGGAGCTCGACGGGTTGACCTTTGGCTGTCGCCGCCGCGTCGTAGCGCGAGAGACCCGGAGGAGCCCGCGGCCAGCTAGCGGCGGCAACCGAGACGGGCGTTAGCTTCGGTTAGCTTCGGTTAGCTTCGTAGCGGTTAGCCACCAGGAAGAAGAGTCGCCGCCGGACGAGGAGAGCCTGTCCGCGGTCATGGCTGCTCTCGGAAACTCGGGGGCCGTCTCCAGTCCCATGGTGATCCTGGCGCCCAAGACTAAAACAAAAAAGAAGCACTTCGTCCAGCAGAAGGTGAAGGTGTTCCGAGCCAGCGACCCCGTCCTCAGCGTCTTCATGTGGGGCGTCAATCACTCGGTAAGCCGCCCCGCTGCCGGCTAGGCTAACGGTAGCTTAGCCCGGTGTGACGGAGGAATCTGTGACCCGGCGGATCGTGTGCCTCCTCCGCAGAGGATCACTGCTGCTTTACAGGGCTTTATTATTTAATTATCACAGTTTAAATACAGTTTAATTAATATATATGTAATCCCTCAGACACAAACTGTCATATCAGACCTATATACTGGATTATTCCTGCATCCTTTGCACTATTGTTTAACTATAAATGTTATTATTATTTATCAGCTAGAACATTATGAGCACTGACAGTGAAACATTATCTGGTGTCAGTTAATGTTTTGGCTGGTCGGGGTATAAATCTGTACATTGGGGCTGCGTGAAGTGGATTAAAAACATCATATTATGAATTATTTTGGAGATTACAGACTTATTTACACAGGAGCACCTGTCTCTGTAACACAGCTTTATAAATATATGACTAGATCTGAACTTTATGGTTAAGATTCACTCTATTAATCCCAAATGTTCCTAACGTTTTACACACACAGGTCCGAAATACAATCACACAAACAGGGATTATAGACATTATAGAGAGACGGTGGAGTGATGGGCCGCCACGGAGCAGTCAGAGGTCACAATCGTTTGTTAAAAGCTATTAAAGTGCTGTTAAAAAGCCATATTTCTGCCATATTCCTACCAGAATACATTACACCGGTGCAGCACTGATGCTCGCTGAAATGTCTTTATCATTATGTGGAATCTGAAGTGAGGAAGAATGCAGCAGAACAAGTGTAACGTCCTCTAACGTTACTCTCAGGTGTATGAAGGGTCCTTTATGTGGGTTGATGGTGTCTTATTCTACGGTCAGGTGTACAAAGAATATAAAGACATCTTAATGTAACATCATACTGTAGGCTTTCATTACTATTAGGTGTTTTTTGTTTCCCTATTAGTTCGTTTTGTTTCCTTCCTGTAAGTCCACTGACCTTTTTGGCCTGTTGGTTGATCAAAACGCCGCCGCCTTGGCCACTAATCAATTAATAAAGGAATTAAACATGCAGCAACCAACGATTAGTTTGTTATATTAGCGATTGATTAATGAATCATTTAGTCAATAAGACGTCAAATAAACAGTGAAAACACTTTTCGGAAGAAAATATGAGATATTGGAGAATCTGGAACCGATTTGAAAAATAAAATGACCTAAAAGATTAGTATATTATCAGAATAGTTCCAGATTAATTGTCTTTAGATTAAGAACTCCATTAATCTACTACCTGTTTCTGCTCTACTGATGAGAATAAACGTTCACTGATCGTCTCGATTTCCTTCCTTCAGATCAATGATCTCAACCAGGTGCCGGTTCCCGTCATGCTGCTGCCGGACGACTTCAAAGCAAACACCAAGATCAAAGTCAACAACCACCTCTTCAACAAGTAAGACCCGAACAATACTTACACAGCGAGGCTCGGATTGGTTGAAATGTAAATATATTAGACAGCTCGGCGGCCGGTGATGCTTTCAAGGACCCTGTTCCCGATAGATAAGATCAGCGAGCGGTCGGCTCTCGTTGTGCAAGAAGAAAAAGAACAGATGATAAAGTCTTGAAGGGTCGTTGGACTGTAGAGTTTAACAGATGTTATGTGTGAAACATCTGTGTATGTTCAGCCTGCTAACACCCCCCCCCGTCTCTTCTCCTTCTGCAGAGAAAATCTTCCAGGACATTTCAAGTTCAAAGAATACTGTCCTCAGGTCTTCCGAAATCTAAGGGAACGGTTTGGGATTGAGGATCTGGACTATCAGGTATGTGGCTTTCTAATGTTCAGTGGGCGGATCTGATGTCACTTTGTTGGCTGACGATTATAAATGTAATAATAATAATAATAATAATAATAAATGTTTCTAGTGGCAGGATTACAGCTGCTGGTGCTAACAGAGCTAACCAGCCATGAGCAGCTGCTGTCAGACTCTCTGTGTCTGCGCTGGAAACACATCTAACTAGTTTTGACACTAGTTTTGTCACTAGAAGCACACTCACGCACATTTTATAAAAGTTTCTGTGACATGAAAATGTCAAATTTAACACATTTATTTAGATTAATTTTTAAATTAACTGGTTAAAAACATAATTTAAGGTTCTGTTACGGCCACATTCTAGATAAATGAGCTTGGGTTCGAAGACAGTGTCATTGATTTTAGATATTTCTATGTGAAGCTTTACTAATGTGCCACGATGGACTGGTTTCACAGCAGACATTTTGTTATCTGGAAACTCACAGGTGTATTAATGATGGCTGCATACCACTTAGGGGAAGTCCTGGTATTGTGAGCGTCCTGTTTTTACAGCTTAGACACATCAAAACGTCTGCCGTACAACCACTAATGTAATGAGAGCTTCATTTAGGGGCTTCTTAGAGTTGCTGCCACCACTACAACACTACTGCACACCCATAGACATTAGTATTCAGCTGATAAAAGTGGTCCAGTTACTCTTTAATAATGATTTCTACTCTTGTCCTCCAGGTTTCGTTGACCCGCAGCCCGCCGATGAGGAGCGTCGACGACCAGGGAGAGGGTCTCCTCCTCAACTCCTACGACCGTACGCTGGTCATCAAGCAGATCTCCAGCGAGGACGTCGCAGACATGCATAGCATCCTGTCTGAGTATCACCAGGTAAGGGAAAGAAAAGGGTGACAGTGCGTTTATTTTCTTATTGTCAACAAATCACAACACAATAAAAATGTGTTTGTGTGTCTGTCAGTGCTTTCTGACTTCCTCATTCTGTCTCTGGCACTCATTAGTTGCACAGATATGTGGTTTCCTTCAGGGATATATTTAATTAATTTCATTAATTCAGGTTTTTGACTTTGTGTAAAATGTATACACTGGGAAATGGTGTCATTACAACACACTACCAGCCACTGTAGTGTCTCCAGTTGTAGGCAACCTGCAGCTCTTCCTCCCCTCTGCAGTTATTTCTTTACATTTTCATGTATAATTGTTGTCATCCTGAAGGGATTCTTATTTTCTCCAATTATAAAAATGTGTAAAATCTGAGTCTTACCTTACGTCCCAACCTTGCACCTTTTCCTCTGTGTTTTGCTGGACCTCAATAGCAGCGGCTACTAGTCCTGAGTCTCTCCAGCTAGGCCAGCAATGGATTCAGAATCCAAAAAAAGAAACGTCTCGGAGGCAAATAGAGAATTTAATGGAGCGTAGACATATTAATTAGAGTTTCACTACCACGCTGCTGGCTTACCGCATAAATTAGCTGTCTGTCTGGAGCTCAGATATGATTTGTGGCTCTAGACAGATTTGTCCTACAAATTCTCTTAAGATGCCACTAAATCCTACTCACTGGTCCTTTAAGTGCATTTGGGATAACTTACCTTTTTAAATATGCATAATAACGAAAGCAGCTGCACACTTGGTTCAGGTGTCGCTCATAAAGTCCCAAAAAATATGTTTAAATTGAGTTAATTGTCCTCAAGCTCATATTGTTGGCCCAACCCTGGTTTCAGTCAAACAGCTGGGTGAATGGAGCATTGGTTGGGGACTATTTTCAGTGGCGGATTAATTCACGTTTGGTGCTCTAGTGAGTATTTGGGGCAGCAGGACGGTGTATAAATAAACTACAGTGTGTGCGTGTTCGTGGTAATAAAGGAAGTTGTCGCCCAGTGTGGCTCACTGATGTGTTTTTAATAGTTTTTAGACAACAATGGAGCTCAGTGGCACAGAGGAAGAAGATGCATCACTTTAGCACACACACACACACACACACACACACACACACACACACACACACACACACTACCTGTCAGTAGGTGAATTCATTGTTGGTTTTTGTTCTTTCACGGTTGACAAGGAGGTAAATATAGAAGATCACCAGACCGGTTATTTCAACATCCACCCAGGACCTGAATTATAATTCATGTTTGTAAGATTATGTGTTTATTTATTGTTAATTAATTTATTGAATTTGAATCTGGACCGAGAGCCGGCAGAGACAGAATGGTGTTAAATAAATAGGTGGAAATGAAAATGAGAGTGAATCACAGTAGTTTGTTAACCTCCCTACGAGCGTCCCTGAATCCTCTCTCCTCCGTCTGCCTTCTGTTCATTCAGTCATTCATTCAGAGGGTTTCCTGTCAGTCTCCAGACACACTAACATCACACACAGAGCCGGGGATCAATCACCTCCCGTCTGCTTTACTGAACTGTGTATGAAGCCGCGTGTCCTACTTATAGAATATTCTCTCTTTAACCTTTGTTTGGACCTTTTTTGTAGCTAAAAACCTCCTGAGAGCGTTTGTCCCAGAGTTCCTAAAATGAGCTCTTCCTCCGGGTCTTTTTATTTTTTTATTTTTTCTGCCTCATAGGTGAGGGGAAGTCGACCCAAATATGGTTATTTTTAGATTTAACGTCTTGCCGGGAGCAGCAGAGCGGCGCAGCAGAGTAGGAAGATAGCTACACATTCAACCCGAGGACGGGAAACATCTGTCCTGCCGAAGTGTCCTTGATGTGGCTCTAAGGTGCCTCGCTCAAACCGAACCCGACCGCTGACCTCCCTGTGGGGTGGGGTGGGGGGGGCTAAACTGCACGAGGATATCAAAACAAAAGCGTGCCTCTCGCCATCAAGGTTAGCCGACGTTACAGCACCACTGAGCGCAGGGGGACAGAACACATGCTCTGTTATATGATTGTTGGTTTGTTAAAGATATTCAAATGCTCATATCAACACATCTATGTTTTATGTAAATAGTAGATAACATTTGTGGGTGAGATAAGAGCGAGGTGACATGCTTTCACCTCTAATATATGTTTGTTTCTGTCAGGTTTTTATTTCTCGTTCGCCGCCCGGCTCAGTATCAGCCTTCAAGCCTCTTTGGATACTTCAAAACTGGGTCTCACTTCAGGCTAAACATACCACTGAGTAAACTTTTGGCTGCTTAGAGCTCGTACTGGAATGTGTAGCCTGTGGTTACGCAGCCTACATAGAACTGGGAGGGAGATGAGGAGGGAAAATGGCAGCTCTGTTTCAGAGTGTTTTTTAATTCACTTGGCCCTGAATGAAGTCATTGTTATCAGAGCTCCTGCGTTGGCATCGCACATTTTCCTTCATTCATCGTGACAGTTTGCAGGTTGCAGTTTATTGTCAGTTTTCTTGTCAGCATTTGGTTTCAGGGGCAAATGAAATACTGGAATATCTTTTTCAGCTCACAGTGCAAAAAGAACAACATACTGGGATCCTGTACTGAAACAAAAGGGCCAGCTTTGCTTTTAAAGGCTTTATCGTTGTTGTGCTTTTGGCTTTTTAGGCCTTTTTTAATTATTTGGATGGATTTCCAGGATGTTGAGGGTCAGGTTTTGTGGGATTTTGTCTTGAGACCAGCCTTTCAAACTGTTTCTCAGGGTTCTCCTACGGTCCTGGAAAACCAGGGAATGTAGAGACTTTGGATTAAAACAATATCCTGGAAATAATCTAAATTGTATAAACCTATAATCACGTAAACGTATGTGTTTAACACTTCAGAGCGGGTTTATAAGATGCAAAGTGGAACTGACTGCAGCGATCTTTCTGGCATCGAGTCTATTTGTTCCAGAGTGAAATTCTCAGATATGTACATACAGCATAAAATTTCTTGTTGCTCTGATTTCTAAATACATGCACAGTGAGGTTAATTGTACGCAGAGGGAACACTTTAACTTTCTAGAAGATGAATATTCTGTAAAATAAAATAAATTCTACTTGATTTGAGCTGTGACTGATGGGCTGTGGCCACATTAAAGTCGTCAGTTTGCCCAAAACCGCAGCTTATATGACCTCCTGGAAATGTTCTGGAAAGGTTGATTTTAAAATGACGAAATATCCTGGAAATTGCTCCGATCACCTACGTAAACCTGCGTGTGTATTTTGTTAAAGGATGACACTTCAAAGAGGGTTCAGTCTGTAATTTAATATCACTGTTACTGACAGAGTACATCCCTTTGAAGGTTAAAATGGAAAAAGGATTTATAGATAAAATAATCAGATGGAAGTGATTCTTGTACGTCCAATATCGGCATTAAGTTGTCCTGCTTGTTATACTGCAGCGTTGCCCGTTGGAAAAAGTCTTAAAGGCTTCCAAAACATTTACAAACAAAGCCTCCTACATGCTTGGAACGGAGGGTTGAGGCGAGGGTTTGCAATATGCAACGACACTCCGGGGCGGCTCTATCCATGATACACTGATTAATTGAGAAAATAATTGGCAGATTAATCGGTAACAAAAGTAATCATTAGCTGCAGCTCTAGTTCGGTGTACCCTAAACACAGTTGGAATTGGTTTTGTGCAGGTTCACATCTACAGTTAATAAAGTAAAGTTTACAATAAGCCTAACACACACACACACACACACACACACACACACACACACTGATAGACCGTCTGTTTTTACCCTCCTCAGCTGTTTTCACTGGAGCTGGATCATCCTGAAACACAGTAGCTGGGGGATTGAACCCGGCTCTCTGCGCCAGGACGGTTATTAAAAAAAAAAATCGATGCGCAAAACAAAAACAGTGTTTGGACACGTAGAGCGATGTCTGTTTACCACCATGCTCAGTGTGTTTCAGGGGACGCTGAATGAGGTCAGTCTGTAGTGAGTGTCTATTTTAACTGAGTGAGAGTGGCTGACAGTCTAACCTGGATAGACTCAGTGATTGTCTTACATTCAAAGTGTCCTTTTGAATGTGGCCAAATGTTCACCTGCACACCTTTAAACTGTCTTATACTCTTTTACTGTATTTTGCAGGTTTATCACTATGTTTAAACGCGCACTGGTGATTTTGCACTATTATTCCACATTTGAAGGTAATTTAAACGGCATATTCTGTTCAGAATGGAACGTTTTCTGATTAAGAAATGTGGGATATGCTGATATTATTCAGGTTTTAGGAGCTTTCTTTGGACGTATGTAAAGCGGATTTGGAATATCTGTCTCATTTTGGGGTTTTGTAGCAGCACAATATATCCTGATGCACAATAGGAAAGCCCATATTTCTGGTCAGGAGGAGAAACACACTGACTTTTAAACATCATGAATGACTTGGATATCAACAGGTTTTGTGGATATGAGCAAATATCACAGTGCCGACCTTTACAAGAAGGTGGTTGAATGAAAGAGGGAGGCTGTGTTTGCATAGTCGAACAAGTCTGACTTGTTCAGGCTTATCAATGTGTTTTTTTTAATTTTGTTATTTGTAGTTTTATAACCAGAATATCCAGCAACAGAAAGAAACAGAAAAGACAAAAACTAACAGACATTGACATCATTGTAACCTAATATCTGCCTTTCTTATATGTGTTAGTACATGACAGTTACATAGTTACTGAACAAAACTCTTTTTAAGTGAGGCTGCCCCCTCTGGACATGCATCCACTAAAGCTGTCCCATTGTTTCTTTACCATATCATTTTACTAGTTCAGTCTACGCAGCAGCTCCAGCTCTTCCACTTTTACCACAAGGACAACATGACTGCAGTTTGACACAGTTATTCTTTTTCTTTAGCTATGTAAACACCTTAAGTGAGAATACTTTGCAGAAACCGGAATACTTTGTGCAAATAAACGCAGTCCGTGAGAGTGTGCCAGGACGATGTTCCACTTTCTGTCACCTGCCATGCAAATGAACTGTTGTTTCCTCTCTGCAGCACATAGTGAAGTGTCACGGTAGCACCCTGCTGCCACAGTTCCTGGGTATGTACCGTGTGAGCGTGGACAATGAGGAGACCTACCTGATCGTCATGAGGAACATGTTCAGCCACAGACTGGTGGTGCACAGGAAGTACGACCTGAAGGTGAGGAGGAACTGCACGGCACAACAGTCTGACCTTTTAATAACACGTCCCACTTCTCGCCACTGAAATGTGGAAGTCCTGCAGAACATGGCACTCATTCACCCCTTTTGCTTTCAGGCCAGAGGTTTTAAGATAACATTATCTTTTATTGATCCCCAGAAGGGAATTATAGATGTTGCAGCAGCTATGGAGGCACCGATTAGGAACTTCTACTGATGTTTTTTTGTTGTTGTTATTTATTCGCGCTTTTGTGCCAGGATACCAAATATACAAAGATACGCATCTCTGCCACGTTGCAGCTCAGTCTGTTTCTGAGCTGAACATCTGCTCACTCTCGTGCTGCTGCTGCTGCAGGGAGCCCAGAGGTTTTCATGCAATTTGTGTCAGTGCTGGAAAACAGTGGTGATTATTACTCCAGAATCCAAGTTGGAAAGAACCAACGTGACCTTTAACCGACACAAAATTGATGTGACACAACACGATGAACATCAGTCACTTATTTTCCAATATCAGTCAATGTTTGGACAGTATATCGGTGCATCCCAAGCAAAAGCACATGGACAGAAATAAATACTGATAAAGAGGGACAGTAAGAATTAGAATAGAAATGGAAACTACACAAGAGTGTCGTAGTGGTGTGATTAGTAGCAGTAAAGTACAGTATAAGTAAACCGTGTGGACTTGACTGATATATAATATGATTAAGCAATGATACTTTGTGTTTGCATTTATATAATTTAGTAAAACAGTGTAACATATTAACATAATATTGTATGAAATATAAAATATAATGTAAGGTGAAATGTGGGGATATAGTGTAACGTGCAGTTAGGAGTTAAAATGCGATGGCAAGACAGTAACAGTGTTCCCACGCCTCCTGGAAAACCTAGATGTTTAGAGACTAGTTTGTCTGTCATGGAAATTGAGTAAAATGACCAAATATCCTCTGTATTGCTTATGTAACTGCTATGTAAACCTACGTTGGAGGAAACCTGTAGTAAACTGTACTCAAATAACCGGAGATGCTGCAGAAAGCGAGCTAACAAGTGTCCTGTAAACACTCATCACCTCCTGTTATGAACTTCATCATGAACCTGTGTCATTAAAAAAAGGAGGAATAATGATGAAAGGGGAAAAATGATGCCTGCTGGTAAATTATATAACCATTTGTGAGCGTGTGCTGTCCTTTATTGTCATGAAAAACTCCTGGTAAATGCTTTCTTAACCAGAGTGGGAACCCTGTATTGAGTTCCATGTTCACAATATTCCTCACATTCTCGTTGCTGCAGGGATCTCTGGTGGCTCGGGAAGCAAGTGACAAAGAAAGGGTAAAAGAAGCATCTTTTCTTCTGTCCGTTTTATATCTTCATGTCATCATACCAGCTGTTTCCTCCCGATCCCGAACGTCTGAAGGTGTATTTTATTCCTAAAAAAGGGAAAAGAGCTTCCGACCTTCAAGGACATGGACTTCAGGAACAACATGCAGAAGGTGTATGTGACCGAGGAGCAGAAGGAGAAGTTCATGGAGAAACTGAACAGAGACGTGGAGGTAGGTGACCTGTTCAGTGTCTGTAAACCTCGCTGCTGTTGCACAATGCTGCCACACGGCGGCAGCATCGGCACATTTAGGACACACGGTGAAGACTCTGATGCCATTTTGGCAGCAGGAGGACGGATGGATGGATGTGAGATTCAGTTACTAGTGAAGGAGATAAATTTAGATATTACAACATGAAATGATTAGTAGATTAATTGGCAGCTGATAATGATTTAACCCATTTTTGCCCAGAGACTAGATTCAGTGTAATGAAGGAAAGTATCTGACAGTACAAGTTAATGTGTGATTTGGTCTATCAAATGTTGGAAAATTGTAAAAAAAAAAAAAAAAGCACAAGTAGACTGAAATGGTTTGTTATATTGGACCTACAGTGCAGGGATGTCCTCACATTAGAGGAGCTGGAAGCAGAGAAATCTCCCCGTTGTAAAAGCTTCTTATCAAACATTCCTCTCTCATTTCCCCCAGTTTCTGGTGAGGCTGAAGATCATGGACTACAGCCTGCTGCTCGGCATTCACGACGTGGGTCGAGCAGAACGGGAGGAGGATGAGGGCGAGGAGGTTTCAAACGAGGAAGAACCGGAGGCGGAGAACGGCCTGGCAGCGGGCGCTACGGTGGGCTCGTACGGCACATCTCCAGAGGGAATCGCCGGTTACATGTCCGCCTGCAAGCCTCTGGGGCCCGGAGAGTTCGACCCATACGTGGACGTGTACGCGGTCGGGAGCTGCGCAGGTGAGAGCTCGCTTCACGCCGCTAAATTGTGGTGTTTCGGAAAAGTACTCGAGACATTTAGATTGTTAGTTTGAGCCCGTCCAAAGTCAGGATCTGTTCCTCTTCCTCATGCGCCCATGTGTTTATAAGTTCAGCTCCTGTCGTCATCTAGGTCAGATATTCATTTCTTACCGGGGGAGCTTTCATCTTGATTGTTGTACGTGCCCGCCGCTGCCGCCAATACAATAACCCTGATTGTTCTCTGCCTTTCATCTCAGGAGCCCCTCAGAGGGAGGTCTATTTCATGGGCCTGATTGACGTACTCACTCAGTACGACACGAAGAAGAAAGCCGCTCATGCAGCAAAAACTGTCAAACACGGGGTGAGTAGCACGAGGGAGGAAAGGGAGGAGGTGGAGGGCTGCTGTCAACATGCAGTCGTACCTGCCTGGAGGGCCAACGTTTGATGTTCTGCTCTCATGTCGTGTCTTAAAGTGCACAACGTACACGGATGATGCTGATGACCTTTGTCTCTCTCTCTCTCTCTCTCTCTCTCTCTCTCTCTGTGTTGCAGGCTGGTGCTGAAATCTCCACAGTCCACCCCGAGCAGTATGCCAAACGGTTCCGCGACTTCATCTCAAACATCTTTGCGTAACACTGCCATACGTTGATCCAACTGAGAGCTAAAAGTCTACTTTACCTTTGACCAAAAATAGTATGCACACACAGATCGTCGTTTTAAACGTGGTGATCTGAGGCGACACTACTTACGTTGTAGCAATATAATGTACTACTTCTGATGCATATATTTATTTTTAAGATTTAAGAAGCATTTCTTCTAGATATTAAGCACTCTTAACGGAATAACTCTGGAGTTGTAGCGTACACAGAAACAAACTGCTGTTGATCAGTGTTCAAAGACCACGTCAGTGCGAGATCAAAGATTGATTTTATCTTTTGCCTGGTTGCAGGCGTGAACTAAACTTACAGGAAGAGTTTGACATGTTGGGCTCATTCGCTTTCTTTCCAAAAGTTACATGAGAAGATTTGTTCCACTCGCGTGTCTGTGTGTGTCTGTGTGTGTGTCTGTGTGTGTGTCTGTGTGTGTGTTTAAGGCATCCTGTGGAGTTTTTGACCTCTAGTAACACTATGAAACTCATACACAGTCCTTCCATTCACCATTGATCCACAGGTGGCTGTATGTGATAAGATCTGCAGCAATCTGCCAACAGTGACGACTGTGTGTCAGTAAACATGGATGCAAACAATTCTGGATTTAAAATACATCCTGAATTTTAATAAACATGTTTACAGCCTGGTACAATACACAGTTTTGGTCTTTATAGCCAAATTCTCAGCTCATGACGACTGTAAGAGGAGTGTATTTTTATATAACTCACTCATTTAGATCATATTAGGGTTTAAAATATGCATAATTAAAGGCACCTTTTTAAAGACAAAGACTAGTTAGTGTAGATAGTGGAAACTGGGAGAAACAGCCAGCCTGGTTTCTGTCCAACAGTAACAATCCTCCTGCCAGCAGCTCTACAGACGCTTTCTGTGAGGATGTGCACGACATGTTGTTTCTGCACAGATTGCACAACTGACAAACGATCATTAATCAGCGAGCGTTAGAGGTGCTTGTAGGTTGTTACCTTTTAGACAGAGCCAGTCTTTCTGCCCGCCCCCCCAATCTAACTGGCTGCAGGCTGTAGCTTTGTATTAGCATCGATCTAACTGTCGGTAAGAAAGCGAATAAGCGTGTTTTCTCAAAATGTCAAACTATTCCTTAAATCTTAGAATAATGCTTTCATGGAGATGGGTATTAAAAATAATGCGAGTCTAGACTCTTATTAATATTATTTATCTGTTGAAGCAGGCCATTTGAATGTTTAGAGTGCCAAATGTGTGGGATCAGAGCTTTATCCTATCAGGATTTGCACTTTGCATAAAATTAAATCAAATCGGTTAAAAGAAACACAATTTGAATGGATCAAATCCTGTTTTCCACCAAAGTTTATTCTAAATTTTAAAGAAAACGTACAGAACAGCCTTGTCAGTGTGGTATTTCAATAGAAAGCACGTCATATTATTTAGCCTGTAAACATTGTTAGCAGCCCTGCATCTCCTAGTTACCACAGCCTGTAAAGGGAATGTGGGGTGGCTGACCTTGGAGCGATTCCTTCACCCACAGAGCTCGGCCCGCAGTAATGAAGTGACTCGTCCAACTTTTAGGATCAGTCCTGCCTTTTTCTTTTTTAATGAAAAACGTCAACGTGTCGACACCAAAACACTTGTGAAAATGAGCCCATCCATCGTTATTCTGGACTCCTTTTTGAACACGGTGCAGTGTTTTTGTGCATTAAAATGGCAAACGTGCGCTCTGTGAATCATTGTGATAGGATAAGATATAGAAGAATCGTAGAGCAGTAGAACTAGGAAACTGTTGTCTGTGTATTGTAATGACATTTGAGATTTAGTGATAACCAGGTTACTGTGTAAAACGATGTTGACAGTAACACTACATTTCAGTAGCTTATGCAGTTAGCCTTAACACAGTGATATGATAGCGCTTTCTGAAACACTGGCCAGGCAGCGTAGATACAGAACAACACTCTGTACGATGCCTGTTCTACTCGATGATTGCACAAGTTGTATTTTTGCAAATCAGCTTTTGGACCAAAATATATTTTACAAAGAACTCCTGAAAAGTGTTGAGTCATTATTAACTGGAACGAGTCGGTGGGTGAGATTGGTGGAAACGTTTCAACTGGAGATGAACCGAAGAAAGAAGAGACGCAACCGGCGCGAGCGTCGAGGCTACAGCGGCGGTAAACTCGGTCGGGCCACCATTTTGGTTCAGAGATATCTCAGATTGGAGGCATTGATGATTTATTCTACTGACTGGTGATCAGATGTTTCCTTTTAGCGCCATCTGTTGTCTTACAGAACACACTGACATCAATAACTCTAACATTTATTGTCTCCTGGTTTTATTTGCATATTTAGGCATCAGGTTACTTTAGTACGTCGACGGATCAATGCTACTAAAGTAAAGTCTGTTCTACAAAGACCAACTTAGCAGTCAGGACCAGGTTTAGTAAAGTAGTAAAGAGTTGGTGCAACCCATCCCAGAACCCTAATTAGTATTGGTAACATCCGACTTTACCCTACTATTTCTAACTAAATGTCTGCTGTGAGAAAGGTCTGTTGTCATTGTGAGCATGTAGCTGAACGCGCACACACACACACACACACACACACACACACACACCCCCCCCCCCCCCCCCACACACACACACACACACACACACACACACACACACACTCTGTGCTGCTCACGTGGCTGTAGACTCTTGTACCTGCAGTCAAACGTCTTTCACAGGCTGTAACATCAGGTACATTACAGGTGTTTGTCATTATAGTTGTTTTAAGGTTAAATCAGCGTTCCAAAGCTTTTTCCTGAAGGGACCTCTTTCCTATATTATGGATATTTCATATTATATTCAATGTATAACAATCACAGCACAGAACAGCTGAGCAACTGTACAATGAACCCAAACAGTGAACTCAATACCTGCAGGAAGTTTATGTAAAATGAGTGATTTTAATGAAGCAGATTATTTCCTCTGAATATTGATCAGAGATGAGTTACTGATATTTTATACAATTCTGTGTCTGTATTATGCGTTTGTATCATTTATAACTTAACTTAATCTTTGGTTGTTTATTGGAGAGTGAAAGCTCTGAATATAGTTTGTGTTCAGCGTAAATAACTATCAACTTTTAAAAAACAAATTCACTTGGTTTTATTTACAGAAACGAACACAATGTTGAGCTATCGACCTACAGCGTCGTCTTACACCCCTTAAAACCTTGCGACCCCCTGTGATGCTTTGGCGACCCCTAGTGGGGGTCCCGGCCCCCAGGTTGCGAACCACTACCTCCGATAACGTGCTGAGGGTCAGGGACTGCTATTTGTCTCACTTTGTCCAGAAGATGTGTTTTTGCTGACGGGTTCCTTCCTGTTTAATCAGAAGAGAGAATTTGCTGACTGGTTCCTCCTCGTTTCACCAGAAAACTGAGGGAACTCAGACAATAGGAATCAGGGCAGGATGAGCAGCGAGACCAGGAGGGTGTCATTGAAGGGGTCATTAAGCCACAAACTGCTGACGATCCGGAGATGCGGTGGGAACACCAGGTCCAGGGAGCAGATCCCATTAATCAGTGCGAATCGCAGCAAACACAAACGTTCCAGCGTTCTCTCGGTGCGACGCCGACCTCACGACCCTCAGCAGTTCCTAAAGCGCTTCAACTCACCAGGAACTGTTCCCTCAGTGGCATCGCTTCCTATGAAACGATGCCAGGGTCATCACCTGCACCTGCTGACAGGGTTCCCATGAGTCCTGGAAAACCTGGAAGTTGATTTAAAAACACCAAATATCCTGGAAATGGTAGATTGTGCTTGTATTCACTCAGATCTACGCCTCAGACTGCTGGTAGAATAACCTGCGACACGCATTCAAAGCAGGTTTACTTTTTCCTTTACCTAGTAATGAATAAAACTGGGGTTAACTGGTTGTCCTGTACTGTCAATAAATCTTCTGGAAAAGGTCCTGGAAAAGGTCCTGGGAAAGGTCCTGGAAACGTGTTATTTCTTAAAAAGAGGGGGAACCGTGAGCTGAAGTGAAGCCAAACTGCAGCTCGCTTTTTAATAGTGTTGAAATAAAGTGATAATGAGGATGTGTGTGTACGTCTAGGTTAGAGAGCCCCTTTCCTCAGTGAGCACCAATGTGGCCCCGGGTTTCCCACCTCCCACTATACTGTGCATGCCACTCACCGTGCCCCCAACAGCTCGGGGGTGGGGTGGGGGGGCTTCCTGGCATTGTTTTCTGCTATGTGAGGAAACTCATCATCACTGAGTTTACACAGACTGAAAGTGAACCCCTTAAAGGTCCAGAGTGTAACATTTAGGAAGAATGGAATATAATGGCCACCGTAGTTTCTCCTGTACACTGTGGAGGCTGAGCGGTATTCAGTTGGTTGCAATCTGTAAATCCTACACACTGGTTCTTAAAGATAAGCAGTTCCCTGACCTGAGGAGATTTGGTTTTATAACCCCTTAAACAGAAATGAACCTGAACCCTGAACTCACTCGCTGGGTGAGATGTGGATCAGTGCAGGTGGACCATGTCTGGATATTTTGATATTGTCCGTATATTCCAGCTTTTATAGGGAGGAAGTGGGACGTTTAATGTGAAGGAAACTGGTTTCATTTCTCTCTGTGAGGCCTGGAGATATTCCTGAAGGTCTGTTTCAGTTTAAAGGTTAAATAAGACGAAATAAATGTTTCATTTAGAGTCATCAGATATTAAGTTACTGGTTGTTTTTGTGTTCATCCAACGAGATAATTCTGTCTGAACACAGTCTCAACAATTTACTACAATTAATGCACATTCCCTTACACCACTCCCCTCTACGCACTGAGGATGTCCTGTGTCTGTGTGTGTGTCTGTGTGTGTGTGTGTCTGTGTGTGTGTGTCTGTGTGTGTGTGTCTGTCTGTGTGTCTGTGTGTGTGTCTGTGTGTTAATGAGAACTGGGAGGGTAGAAACTCCTGGCTGCTTGATTGCTCAGATAGTCCTCAACATTCGAGCTGGAAGGAGTGATCTGGAGTCTGCAGGCTTCACACAGAAAACTCTCTCCAGAAGACCACAAGGCCTCAGGAGGGACCGGCCCTCTTCATCTCCACTACTCATCATCACAACAAGGTACGCTATACCCAGTTATATATTATTAGAGACTGTTTACACCTTATATCTGTTCATTAAATGGGAGCTCCACCGATTTCACACACCAGAGTCCGTTTACAGGTCTTAGACTGTAAAGTATGTGGGAAAGGTTATAAAGAGGGGGGCTGCATTAATGTCCTCAAGTGACATCACTTGAGTCGGTGTGAGTTGTAGACTAGACTATGTTTGAAAATTAAAGAAAGGTTTTGACGTTACAAAGAAAGTGAGCTCTGTAGACAACTCATTATGTCAGCTGCAGGATTGATTTATGGAAGATTTTCTACAAAAAACATTGCAAAAATTGATTTTTTAGGTATTTTTTTGCAATGAAATTGAGGGAGAAAGTGAAAATTGCAGAAAGAATTAGTTGCAATTATAATTTTTTTGTGTGTAATTCATGAAAAATGTAAGGCAGCTTGTTCCAGAGTTAATTAGAAACTGAGTTTGGTGACATATGACTCAGAGGTCAAATGTGCAGAAATAGTTCGGTGATAGGACAAAAGTGCAAAATATTTTTAGGCATTTTCTTTTAGGCATGAAAACGAAAGAAGAAGTGAAAATTGTAAAAATAGTTAGAAATAGCACAGAAATAGGAACAAGCATAGTTCCACTGAGAGTAAAACCTTATAATTTTGACCAACAACTGGGGCTACAATCATTGGTTAAAGTTGCGTCCTAACTTCCTTGAGTAACTGGCTGGAGACTCCAGGCTACATTAGCTGCTGGTAGCATAGCACACAAAGTCCCCAAACCAGCCGGTAGTCAAGTTGCATTGTGGGTAAAGTAGGTTCCAGGTTTTGACAATGAAGAAGAAAATGTGGAATAAAAAATTATAAACCGATAGAACCGTTGTAGGCTGTGAAACGGCTTTCTAACAACCTGTTGTTTAATATCCACCTCATTTCAACCCAGCACGTCTGCCACCCTCCTCCTCCTCCTCCCGTCTTTCTGTTATGTAACGTCTGAAAACATAATCAGATTAACCCCAAAGTAAACCTGAACTCTGTCCAGATATGAAACAGTTTTTCCTCTGCTTCTCACTCCAGACCATGAGCGCCCACCAGCACAACCACTCATTAGACTACTTCAATGGCACGCCATGGTTTGTCTACGAGTGCACCATCGAACTGGATTCGAACTACCGGCGCATCGCCCTCTTCCTGCTCTACCTGTTCGTCTTCATGGTGGGCCTGCTGGAGAACACGCTGGTCCTCTGGGTCAACTGGCGCCGACGCCACTCGGCCAACGGGGTTCTCTTCTGCATCATCAACGTGACGCTGTCGGACCTGATGGTGATTGTGATCCTGCCTTTCTTCATGATGGAGGTGACCATGGACAAGGTTTGGCTGTGGGGCCGCTTCCTCTGCAAGGTCACCAACCTCATCTACGTGGTCAACTTCTACAGCAGCTCCTTCTTCCTGGCCTTCATGACCCTGGAGCGCTACCTGTCCCTGACCAGACCCTCGTTCCCGGCCTTCTTCCCCGTGGTGGGCCGGCGTCGCTGGGTGCTCTGCGGAGGCCTGTGGATGTTCTCCTTGTTCCTGGCTCTGATGGAGAACGTCCACGTGGATCTCCTTGAGTGGGACGAGCCAGGCTGCTACATGATGCCCGAGTACAACTACATCGAATGGTTTGTGTCCGTGTCTTTCCTCTGCCTGCTCTTCCAGTTCCTGGGCCCCGCTGCCGTCATCATCACCTGCAACGTGCTGATCGCTCGTGCGGTTAAAACTGCGCCCGATGTGCAGGGCCGGCGGGACGTGTGGCTGGTGCACGTGTACTCCCTGGTGTTTGTCTTGTGCTGGCTGCCCTACCACATGATCATGTTCCTGATGATCATAGACGACCTGGACCCTTACCTCTTCAGCTGCAACACGGTGGAGGTCCTGTACTTCTCCTTCAGCGTGGTGCAGGGTCTGTCTCTCTTCCACTGCGTCGCCAACCCCATCCTCTACAACTTCCTCAGCAAGAGCTTCCGCAGCAACCTGATCAACACTGTGGTGAACTACGTACCCAGAGAGGGGACAGCGGACCAGGCGGGACCTGGGACCCAGCCCGGCGCTCCCAACGGAGACGACCCGGGGAAGCAACGCAAGTTAAGTAACGCCAGCACCAGCCAGTCTGACGTCGGCTCGTAAGAGACAGAGAAACTGAGCTAGGAAGAGTTTGGCAGAACTGAATCCAGTCGTGGTGCTTCATAGATTGTGCAACGTATCATCTCACTGACTCAATGCGCCGTTCGTTACATAACAGACGGGCTCACCAGCACCTTCCTCTAATAATCCACTTCCTGTTTTTTTTTTTAATCATATATCTGATCAGTTTTAAACGGAGGAAGGCAGGAAATCTTTGATGTTTTTTTCCCCCCTCAAAGCGGCTCAACTCCCACAGGAACTCCCAGCAACCTCTAACACGACGGCACCGGGGAATAATGGCGCTTCTCCAGGAATGTGTGTAAACATCTGTGCTGTCCAGTGCCAGAGATAAGAGCAGTCCTCGTAATGCAAATGTGATCATGTAACTGAATAGACAAGTTTTATTTCATTATAAATCTAATCACAAATGCTTATTTATCGTCTTCTGGATGCTGCTGTCGCCTACGTGTGCTGTAACATGGTCCCCTGTGCAAACGCAATAAAACGTTTTCATCAAACACTGTTTGTATCCATTTAAGATGGACAGTTATCACAGAGCAATGAAAAAGCTCATGTTTGGAAGCTTATTGTGTTTATTTAGAGACACTCTGCTGTTCTTGCACTTCAGCTATCGCTCCTCTGTTGATCTTTATTACAGTTACTTCCATTTCTGTCTCCATCTGGAATGTGTCAACAGTTTGAAGTGATAAGAGGGCAGAAAAAGGAAAGAGAGACACAGATGGTACAATAGCAGGAAGAGACCGGGCTTTAAAAGGGGCAAAGGTCACGAGCCCCTGGAAGCAGGAGGTTCACAATCCTGCAAGTTCATCACTGAAATTCTGATGATGGATGGACTTTGTGGCGCAGGACACTTCAAAAGGTCATCCGGAACAGAGAAATCATTTAGGGCTGATAACAGTCTTCCTAGAAGCATTTATTATTCTCAAAAACAAGATTTTAAAAAAGGCCAACATTCATAGACAGCTTTAGAAACAGATAATGAAATGTATAAAGGCATAAAAATAATAAATAGTTGCACTGTCGTCATAAATATGAGGTAAGAAAAAACATTTTGTTACACAGAAATGTGATGGGCACTTAAATATCATGTTTATACAGCACCACACGCTCTGAACCAGTGAACGCAGCATGTGACTGATGGCATATTATTCATAAAGATTCAACATTAAAAACGTTTTTTTTTTAAGTCTCAATGAGAAATAAAATGCGCTCTTTTATGTGGCTGGTCCCGTTGTGTATCTGTGGAGCCAAAAGACATAAAAAATCTTGGTGTGTGAAAAATAGTGACTGCAGATATAGGAAAATAATTTCTACGCTACAATGAGGTGCTACTTTAATAACAGTGTAATTATCAATCACGGACATAAAAACCTATCCTGGTAGTTAGATACAGAGCTTCTCTTCTTCCACTGACACAGAACAGGATACAGCGCCGCCAAGTGGCTGACTGAATGAACGGCATCTGACTGATAATACGTCCACTACGTCCTAAGAGTCTAAGTCTAATCATAGAGCCGACACCGTTCACCCGTTAGAAAAGTCGTCTGCAACTATTCTGATCATCGATTTAAGTCGTTTATGGAGTAAAAATGCCGACGTTGTCTGTTTTTATATGGTTGTAAACTGAGTTCTGGTTCTTTTTAAAGATTTTGAAGTCACCTTAGACTCAAGCAGAGTTGGGAACAAAGTAACAAAGTACAAATACTTAAAAGTAGTTCTTCTTAAGAAGTATTTATTTTCTGACTCCCTATTTTTACACTGATATCTGTACTTTCTCCTCCTCACAGTTTCAAATCGGGGTGGTTGCTTTCATGCATTAGAGGGGAATTATGATAAGAGCTGCACTTTATAGTAAAAACATCAGATTGATCATTATTTTGACACATATGATTCATGATTAGTAGGAATTATCATTTAAAACTTAAAATCTTGATAATGTGACATTATCTGTACCAAACAAACATCTATTCTTTAATCTGGAGAAGTTTCATAGACCAGAGCGTCTCTGCAGTATTTCATTATAAAGCTTTTTATTACGTTTATCACATTTTAACTTTAACAAAACATTGCAGCTTCTGTGATTTGGATATTGCACTTGGACCATATTGGGATTCTGATAATATTTGTATTAATTATGCAGCCCTATTAATGAGCTTCAGAGAGACCAAGAGAGTACTTTTATACTTTGAGGAACATTTCAGAGCCTGAACTTTTTCACTTTTACTTGAGAATCAGAATCAGTACTTCTACTTTTACCGGAGTCTTTTTTTACACAAGTATCTGTACTTCCACTCGAGTGAACAATGTCTGTACTGTTGCCACCTCTGGAGTCAAGGCCATTGTGATTAAACGATTAATCGATTGATCAAAAAATTAATTAGTATAATAAATTATTATTATTTGCAGCCCTAGTCTAAAATGTTCAGTATGTGGTCCACGACAACCAGACACACAGGAAGTGTCAGAGCGAGGGAACGGGGGCCCGAGCAGAGCCGGTCAGGCGTCCACAGCTGGCAGCGGTTCTTTCGAGTGATCATTGTACATGAAGGTCTGCTCGATGTTGAAGTCCGGGGGCAGGTGGTCCTTGTGGAGCTCCATGTGCGACGACACCAGCTTCAGCGTGGAGAAGTAGAGGCCACAGACGGTGCAGCGGTACATGAGAGCGCCGGCGTGCGTCTTCAGGTGGCAGATCATGGTGGAGCGGCCCCTGAAGAAGCGCAGGCAGACCTTGCACTGGTAGGGTTTCTCCCCGGTGTGGATGCGGAGGTGATAGGTGAACTCCCCCGAGTGGGCGAAGCGTTTGCCGCAGTAGCGACACCGGTACCATTTCCCGCGGACGCCCGCCGCTCCGGCTGCCCCGTCCTGCCCTGAACTCCCGTTGGTCAGGACCCCAGAGGGCAGGCTGTGTACTGACCCTTGAAAATACTTATCCGGTATGCCGAAGCCCATCCCCAGACCCAGACCCAGGTTGCTCATTTTAACGAGGCCGCCGACCTCCCGCGGAGAGGAGGAGGAGCAGGAAGACGGAGGGCACTCCAGAGACTGGTCAGCTTTACGTTTGCCCAGCCAGCCCTGACCTCCGACCCCTCCGCCCCCCCCCAGGGACTCGCTGGTGTGCAGGCTGAGGTGGTACTGAAAGGCCGAGGAGGAGCGGAAAGTCTGCGGACACAGGAAACAATGCAACTCCTCCACCCCCGCCAGTCCACCTCCCCCGACTCCATCCGCCCCGGCTCGGAACGCCCTGAGCGCCGACCGCTCCCTCTCCTTCGCCGCCGCCTCGTCAGCGTGCGCGGCCATGTGTCTGTCCAGCAGGGAGCGCTCGACGAAGCATCGGGCGCAGTGCGGGCAGGTGAAGACGGGCAGGGAGAGGTGGGCGAGGGCGTGCCACAGCAGGGAGCACAGGGAGAGCTGGGGGAGGTGACACACGCCGCAGCTCAGGCTCTGGGGACACACGTGGCCCAGCAGGTGGTCTTTAACCGTCTGTGAAGGAATGAAGACACATGACATAAATGTGGGAATCTCATGAGAGCAGCGGGCGGAACAGTTGGCTCAAGATGAATTCCATATTCTGGTTTTGTGTCCGTGTTGCCGTCAGATGTCTCTCTGTGAAATCAGTTCTCTGGCGTTAATTATCCAAACAACAGACGCCTGAACACACTGGAGGTTTCCTTTTACATCGCGTTCCACTTTATTTGCTCTCAGTGGGTCAAATGAAGAAGTACAGAAGAACATTAACTGCGGCCTGCTCAGTGGTCAGATTGAACAGGTTTAAACTGTCGCTCTGTTGTGTGTTCAGCTGATGTTCAATAGTGCTAATCCTACACCAAACACGCTTTAAAAATCGCTTTGCTGCCTGTTAATCCCAACTTGTTAGGGGCATTATTGTGCACTCGACACTGAAACTGTGCCTTTTTTTTAAATCTTTTTTTAAAGCAGATGTTGATGCTTTAAGCTTCCAGTTTATTTGAACTCTTTCTTTGGTTGTTATTCAGCTGCAGAGGGATCTGTGTCTCTTTCTGCCCTCTCAGTTGTCAGTCTGGTTGAACTATTGTACAACTATTACTACCTTTCTGCAAAGCCCTCATAGAAAATAACTTTCAACAACCTGAAAGCATGAAAGCCCTTTCAGTAATACAGACTCGTCCTCTCTCTCTCTCTCAGCCATCATCTTTAGTGGCCGGTGATTCTACAGATTGTCAGAAAATATTATATATCTCTATATTTTTGTTTATTTTACTCTCTTTATCTTATTTATTGTTTTATTATTGGATATTTGATTCTATTTAATTCTCTGTACTTTTATTGGCCTCCATTAATTCAGTTTCCATTGTGCTGAATTGTTTTTATCCTGCTACTACTTCTACAGTCAGCATATACAGCTGACCTGAGGTTAAATTGGCATTAGCTGCACCAAAAAACCCACCTGTCAAACGTGCACTCACCTGGAAGTCCTTGCTGAGGGTTTTGGTGCACACGGCGCACTGCAGCTCGGCGCTCAGGCCCTGGCCGCCGCTGTTGGTCAGCGCTCCCTGTGGTATTGTGTAGGTGGAGGCGGTCTGGCGGTGGTGGCGCAGCAGTTTGTTCTGGCTGCAGAACTGCAGATGGCACATGTCGCAGGTGAAGAGCTGCACCCCGACATGGGAGAGGGTGTGGTTGACGCCGGCGCCGCGGTCCTGGAACGATGCCCCGCACACTCTGCACAGCCCGAGCTCCGTCAGGTGGGTCTCCGCGTGTCTTCTGATGGCGGCCGGGTCTGCTGGGAGAGGCGCTGTGCAGGCTTTACATGACAGCATGTTCCCCGTCACCTGGAGGAGCGAATATAGACAGACTGTCAGTGTGGCTGCTGCGGGACGATGTTAGTGCTCCCCTGTTGGTGTCCTCTCCTATAACTCTCACTTTTCTCCTCAATGACAATCTAAAATCATTACTGGCTAATGTTAAAAATACGTTATATTATAATAAAGCAGTTGAATGATTCTGTCACTGTACCTCGTTATGGAATCTACAGTATAACCCAATGAACCCAGTTTCATTAACTAATAGAAGTTCCATCTAAAACAACATGTTACTGGCTAATATAACTTTGTTTATTAGATTGTAATGTGCATAGAATAACAGAATTATACACTTTTATTTGTTTTGATATCAGCGTTATGTATCGGCCATCAGCAGCCCCGCTGTCTGAATATCGGCCGAAGGTTCCTTCTGTTGTGTGGACATCAGATATTTTTGTGCTGACTAATCGTAATGTTTTGCGCAAAACTTGGAAGTCTCCCAAGTATGGAGATTTCCTGCCTTTCTCTGTTTTATATCATATTATTGAATAACTTTGAGTGTTAGACTGACCAAACGTTGGACTTTGAGAAACTGGGTTGGATGTTTTTCACCATCACTAACGATTCAATTATCAGCAGATGAATCAATAATGAAAACGATCATTAGTTTAAGTCCCACTGATTAACACAACCTTTACCTGGCTGCTGGAGTTCCCTCCCTCTCCATTGTCCACACACACAAGGTCGTCTTCATCCTCCTCCTCATCTCCCTCCTCCATGAAGGTCTCGTCGTCGCTCAGCTCGATGATCTCGCCCGCCAGCTGTCTCCACTGCTCCTCCTCCGTTCCCTCCATCTCTCCGTTCTCTTGCAGAGCCTCCCTCTCCTCCTCCACCTCTCCGTCCTCCACCTCTCCAAACATCAGCCTGCCGTCCCTCTGGACGTCCACCATGCCGCCCTCCACGGATCCCACCTGCAGGCTGCCCAGAGGCTCCCCCGAGGACGACGTGGGGTCGCAGGCCTCGGCCCCGAGCTGAGCCGAGGAGTCTGGGAAGGAGCAGGACTGAGACGGTGCAGCGTCGCTGCTCTGAGGCAGAGAGCTTCCCGCGCTCTCAGGGATCATTCGTCTGTCTCTGTCAGCCTCCTCACAGCTGCCTCCTGCCTCCTCTTCCTCCAGGCCCTGCTCAGTCTTCAGCTGGAGCACCGGCCCCGGAGGCAGCACGCCCTCACACTGACTGGAATGGGTGCCATGACCTCCCGCTGGTTGATGATCTGCTACCATCTGCCCGTAGCCGATGTGAGACTGGACGTCTTCTGCCTTCAGGTCCAGAGACAGAGCCCCAGCGTGAGCTTCGCGCCCGGCCCTGGCTGTCCTCGCCTGGAAGAGCGGTGAGGGGGCGGCAGCCGGGGTCGGGGCAGCAGACGAAGACAGAGAGGAGCAGGAGGCGGCGGAGGAACACACGGACGACGCAGACACAGAAGCCACTGTGGACGCAGCGGCGGCGGCGACCATGCTGGAGTCCAGGGCGAGGTCTCCAGAACCGCCTTCTTTACTGTTTGCAGACACAGACGCCTGCAGGTCGGGGAAGGTAGCGTGACAGGCCCTCACCAGCTCGCTGACGCCCAGCCTCTCGGCCAGCTCATACAGCACGCCAACATCTATGAGATCGGTCAGGATCTCCCCCGTGTACACGAACGTCAGCACCTTCTCGAAGTTGGCCGGGGAGATGAACTCCAGGGAGAAGGCAGCGGAGGACGAGGCCGGAGCCCGGGCAAACAGGTTGCGGAAGTACGTCCCGGCGCAGGCCAGAACGGCACGGTGCGCCGCGAACGTGCGGTTGCCAACTTGCAGGAAGACATCGCAGTATCGGCGCGACTGCCGGCAGCGGTTGAGCTCAGTGAGAAGGCTGGCAGCGTGGCCGGGACCCTGCAGCCGGATCCTCATCCCTGCTGCTGCAGCTCCTGGTGCGCTACAGTCGGACTGCAGGAGGAGAGAGGGAGTCAGTCAGAGTAGAACAGATATATAATAATACATATAATAATAACAACAAAATTATTTTTTTTTTTGATTTTTTTATTTAAGTTGAATTGTCTATAAATGTCCATCACAATTCCCCAATTTCATCATTTTTGGGTGTTTTTTTTTTCTAATTCTCATTTTATTTGAAATAAATTCACATATCCATCAAACATTTTTACAGTCTGAGCAGATTTTAATAAAGAAACTGAAGATATTAAGGATATATGTGCATGTCTTTCAGTATACTCCCATATTTCTTGCTCCTCATACACTCATTTAAAATGTTCCTAAATAAACAAACAAACAATGTGAAGTTTTAAACGGTTTAAAAACCAAAGATAATGAATTAGATGACAGTGACACAGACAGCTGTCACACTGTCTCTGAGAGCTTTATTGTTCATTAACAACCTGACAGACAGTAACTACAGACAGTAACTACAGACAGTAACTACATCAACCTGACAGACAGTAACTATAACTGACAGACAGTAACTACAGACAGTAACTACAACAACCTGACAGACAGTAACTACAGACAGTAACTACAGACAGTAACTACATCAACCTGACAGACAGTAACTACAACAAACTGACAGACAGTAACTACAGACAGTAACTACAACAACCTGACAGACAGACAGTAACTACAGACAGTAACAACAGAAAGTAACTACATCAACCTGACAGACAGTAACTACAGACAGTAACTACATCAACCTGACAGACAGACAGTAACTACAGACAGTAACAACAGAAAGTAACTACATCAACCTGACAGACAGTAACTACATCAACCTGACAGACAGTAACTACAACAAGACAGACAGTAACTACAGACAGTAACTACATCAACCTGACAGACAGTTACTACAGACAGTAACTACAGACAGTAACTACAACAACCTGACAGACAGTAACTACAGACAGTAACTACAACAACCTGACAGACAGACAGCAACTACAACAACCTGACAGACAGCAACTACAGACAGCAACTACAGACAGTAACTACAGAAAGTAACTACAACAACCTGACAGACAGTAACTACAACAACCTGACAGACAGTAACTACAGACAGTAACTACATCAACCTGACAGACAGTAACTACAGACAGTAACTACAACAACCTGACAGACAGTAACTACAGACAGTAACTACAACAACCTGACAGACAGTAACTACAGACAGTAACTACAGACAGTAACTACATCAACCTGACAGACAGTAACTACAACAACCTGACAGACAGTAACTACAGACAGTAACTACATCAACCTGACAGACAGTAACTACAGACAGTAACTACAACAACCTGACAGACAGCAACTACATCAAACTGACAGACAGTAACTACAGACAGTAACTACAACAACCTGACAGACAGTAACTACAGACAGTAACTACATCAAACTGACAGACAGTAACTACAGACAGTAACTACAACAACCTGACAGACAGCAACTACATCAAACTGACAGACAGTAACTACAGACAGTAACTACAACAACCTGACAGACAGTAACTACAGACAGTAACTACATCAACCTGACAGACAGTAACTACAGACAGTAACTACAACAACCTGACAGACAGTAACTACAGACAGTAACTACAGACAGTAACTACAACAACCTGACAGACAGTAACTACAGACAGTAACTACAGACAGTAACTACAACAACCTGACAGACAGTAACTACAGACAGTAACTACAGACAGTAACTACAACAACCTGACAGACAGTAACTACATCAACCTGACAGACAGTAACTACAGACAGTAACTACATCAACCTGACAGACAGAGTAACTATATACAGTAACTACAGACAGTAACTACAGACAGTAACTAAAACAACGTAACTACAACAACCTGACAGACAGTAGCTACAACAACCTGACAGACAGTAACTCAACCTGACAGTACAGACAGTAACTACAACAACCTGACAGACAGTAACTACAGACAGTAACTACAGACAGTAACTACAGACAGTAACTAAAATCAACCTGACAGACAGTAGCTACAAACAGACAGTAACTGACAGACAGTAACTACAGACAGTAACTACAACCACCTGACAGACAGTAACTACAACAACCTGACAGACAGT